TAGGGAAGTTCGGCCGCTGCTTGGCTGAATCAACCAAAAGTGCAAACAAGTCATCGTCAGTCGATCGCCGAGCAAATGCCAAACAGCTGCTGTTACACTTTTTAGGAACAGCCATGCCAAGGTATCAATGGTATGCGACGAATCGCATAGTCAGGTTTCGGTTTCGGATGTGATCACTGAATTAGAAGAAGAAGCAGAGGAAGAACAGACTGGAATTGAGGCATCATCGGTGGCAAGCAACTGCTGTTCTGCCATCGAGTTCGATCACCGACTAACCGGTAGGTCATGGCGCAGAGGTGCGTCGCGGTGCGGTGATGAATGCGGTAAACCGGTCTTCCCTCGGCACGATTTGTCGCGCGATTAACGAGACGACAAGGACAGAGGCGAATACGAAGTTAAGCGTCGATGAATCAGCATCACTACAGTGATGGTAGTTTCTTTTGACGATAGCAACAGCAGAAAGTTTAGAAGTGCAAGAGAAACCATATCTGCTGCTTCGCAAGCGTTCTCATCTGTCGTCGTCAAAAAGTATATACCAAACTATTTTATAACGCTATACGAAAACTGCACATCACGTCGTGTCCAGATGATAGCCCATAGCATCAAAACGCAGAAGTCCGCTGAACTGCAGTTACTTAAGAACACGATAAACAGTTTTCCTATTGTGCGCGTCAAGAACGCATCGGTCAGGCTTAAAACTGAGAATATTTTTTAAAGTTTCTATAAATTTTCACAACTTTACAGAAACTAATATGGAAACAATTCTGAAAGTGCTGCCGATACTTAGTCAAAACCACGAAGATCTTATAACTGCCAGTAAACGAAAAAAAAGTCGTAGTCTCTCGAGTTATAATCATTTCCGGGTTCAAGCCATTATTTACCAGTAATTACTATGGAAGCAATTAATACTTAAATTATGTCACACCTTGTCTAGCGGACAGCATTAATCTACGACGCATGTTACACTTATCGCACCCCACAAAACGATAACAAAAATTCTCTAAATACATGCAATTTTCGTTTCCATTATTCGCTATTAAAAATTAATTATACTTAAATAATCCCCCCCCCTATTGATACTAGGAGAAAAGAGGCGGTGCAGTACACCGTTAAATATAGTTTCTTATCACAA